TCAGCCAGACACTGGCTCCCGGTAATTTGACTCTGATTTTAAGAGTCAGATTGACTCATGAGAGTCAGGGGGTGATTGACTCTGATAAGAGAGTCTAAAGACTCTGGAAGTGGGGTAATGTGACCCTAATATACATGAAGGAGTCAAATTAGCTCCATGAGGGTCAAGGGGTGTTGGACTCTGCATGACTAGAGAGTCAAGTGACTCCAATTTTACTCTCAGTGCACTTGAGCTATAACCCATGAAAAAAGCCACTGCAACAAATTAAATGACCTATGGACATCCGTATTGTTAAAGCTTTACACATTAAAGTCTAGCTTGGACATATTAAAACAACAGTCTCTCTCTCTCTCTCTCTTTCTCTCTCTCTCTCTCTCTCTCTCTCTCTCACGCACACACACGCATACACACATACAGGCATAGCATGCAAACGTTGGTCCAACGTTTGGTTTCCATCTAAGTGCTCACTTTGTCTAACGGTTGGCTAAACCTCTTTTTAATACTAAATCATTGCCAATGTTTTCCCAACCAAACGTAGTCCTACACTGGGCCAACTGTTGTTGACCAACAATTCCCCAACATCTCACCAAGAGTGAATATACGGTGACTAATAACCAACACCGACCCAACCATCGACCCAGCCGAGGATGTCAAATAAAGACATACCTGCAGGACATCTCTGACTATTGTATTGTGCTAGCATCGTATAACATTGATATTGAACGTTTTTCAATTTAAGACCATTTATTTAGTAGAAAACTCGCCACTACACGCCAACGTACACCCCGCAAAAAACGCAATAGATACTCCAGCGCAGTAGACTACTGCAATCATACTCCAAACCGCAGTAGACTACTTCAATCATACTGCAAACATGCTTCAAATCTGCTTCGATTTGGGAGCTAATTAGCATATTTGATATCATGCTGCTTATCTACTGCATTAATGCTCCTCTCTGTACAAACTTATGTAATTTTTGGAGTAGAATTGCAGTAGGCTATGCTGCATTTCTNAACGCAGTAGTGGTGTGGAGCATATTTGCAGTAGAAATGCAGCATAGCCTACTGCAATTCTACTCCAAAAATTACATAAGTTTGTACAGAGAGGAGCATTAATGCAGTAGATAAGCAGCATGATATCAAATATGCTAATTAGCTCCCAAATCGAAGCAGATTTGAAGCATGTTTGCAGTATGATTGAAGTAGTCTACTGCGGTTTGGAGTATGATTGCAGTAGTCTACTGTGCTGGAGTATCTATTGCGTTTTTTGCGGGGTACCCGCATGAAAACGAAGTAGATACTCCAGCGCAGTAGACTACTGCAATCATACTGCAAACATGCTTCAAATCTGCTTCGATGTGAGAATGTATGTGAGGATGTATTTGAAACATGCTTCTATCATGCTGCTAATCCACTGCATGAATGCTCCTCCGCTGTACAACCCTATGTAATTTTTGAAGTAGAATTGCAGTAAGCTATACTGCATTTCTACTGCAAATATGCTCCACACCACTACTGCGTTTATGCTTCTTTGTTACTTCGATACTACTGCATTTTCGTGCGGGTATCTTTTTACTTCAAGACGAAACGAAAAACAAAGAGAACATCGAGACGCCCCTGCCGTGACAGGCTGCGCTGATGATGATACATGTATGTGATTTTCACTACAGTCCAAAATATCCCCTTAGATATCTCCCCCCCCCCCCAAAAAAAAAAAAAAAAAAAAAAAAAAAAACATGAGGGTGGTGGAGCCCACTTTAAACGTTTCCTGAGTTTTAAAAAGACAAACATTAATGAATATTATCCTATAGAGGATTGTGTCTATTAATGGTACAGTCTATTGTCTATCAGTCGAATGCCCCCCCCCCCCCACACACACATATACATAAAACGGTGTTGGTAATGTATCGAAGATAGTATACAACATGCATGTAGTGTGATTTTAAAACTGGGCGATAGAGGTTCACAATTCGACCCAGCATCGAACTTGGAGACTTGCCTGGCTGTTGAATAAAGAAAATGAATTAATATTTATGATTTTTTATGATTCACCTGTGTAAGCGTTGGCATTTAAGATGGATATAAAGTGAGAAACTGTGTCAAATTATTGACGCCAAACTCAAACTAGTGTTCCAAATAGTATAACTTAGATAAACAGCACGGATAATATCATTTCCTGAGAAACAATATTGGCTTTCATAGTTTTAGCTTATTTTCTTTACTTTTCAAACTGGCGGGGATATCTATTTTGGAATCTGAAGTAGGTTGATTCAATTACCATTTTAGAAGGTTTCTAAATTCCATTGGTATCATCTTAGTATTTTATGCGGGGGAGGGGGATATAGAGGCTATTCACCTGGATAGCCTCATTCCCCGATATGTTCTTCTAGACATCGCAATATTGGAGGTAAAAACTATGTCAATATTAGCTGTTGAATGAAGAAAAATATTTCATTCTTATAACATAACACAACCGATGAAATTGTTCTTTGAATGCAGGAATGGGGTCGTTGACCATTGGTAAGTACGGGAAAATTGGCGTTTACTCCAGGAAAATCCAATTTATGTTTTCTCCCTCCCAGTGTACCACAAACTTTCATAGTCCCATTCATAACAAGAGAGAAGGCAACAAAGACTGTCGATTGTTCGTGATTTGGCCAAACAAGGCCGCTTTTATTATAAAACTCACTATCCTAATAACTTTAACAATAATAAAAATGTAGCAAACTGTTGCCTGCATTAAATGTTATGACCTAAGCGCCTTGCACACGGTGAGCAATTGGCGCACGCCACTTGCGCTGCGCCAGATGCTCGCGCTCCTCAGCTCCCCGCAAACGATGCGCTCTTTGCTCAGCAGAGGTGCCTCCCGGCCTGCCCCTATTGGGCGCACTGTGAACTGTGGGACCATGTGATTAAGGAAACATTGCATATTAATTTTTTCTGATAGTAATGGAAAATGGTGACCACGTTAATCAGTCAGACTAACTATAACTGTGAACATTTTTGTTGACTTCGTTGAGGGCTGCCATTTTTGTTTGTTTCCGGCTACCGGCACACGCGCATTGTTGGCACGACTTGAGCAGTCGGCGCTTGCACCCCGCACACGCTGAGACATTTGCTTCAAGAGGCCAAAAATATCAAACACGTGAGATATTTTGCTCAGCCGCGCGAGAGTCAAAAATCTCACCAGAATAATCCCGCAAACGGTGAGAAAACGGCGCAGCGCAAGTGTGGCGCGCCAATTGCTCACCGTGTGCGGGGTGCTTTAGGGATAAAAATTATATATGAAATATCATCATCCTAAAAAATTATGATGTGACGAGTCAGCAAAAGTTATTATTTTCAAAAGGGAATTATACAAATAAGTCTGAAACTAAAATTGGTCACAATGTAACTGAATCGGCATAAGAGAAGTCCAAGTGGTCCAATAAATATCGGAAATTGTGTCCGCCTATGTCATCAGGTGACTGAAGATTCTATACGCAAGGACCCTTATTGTGCAGTCGCCGTGACTATTATTAGAGCAAACCAGAAACTCATGGACAAAGGGATTATTCCAACGGCAACTGCTATATCAGTAGAGGAAATAACTTACCGCATTCATATAACAGTCGGTAGTTGTACGGTTAGTCCATGCTTGAACTTGTACAGAATCTTTCGCTCTCATAAAATGTTGTAAACGTGTCGTAACGCTTCGAAATATCGAGTGAACTGTTGGAAAGATCTCGTCGAAGAAAAAGCCGATGACATTTTTTGAACTGAAGGTTTAAGTTGAAGGTTGGAGATAACTTGTAGCTTAAATGTTTCGTGCGCGTCAACAGAAAGAATCGAGCGCAAAATGGGTCAGGCAGTGACGTCCCATGATATAAGCAGCAACATGTGCCTCAACTAGGACCACCCCTCTACGGTAGAATTGAGCATGTGCAGAATGTTCATGTGCGTAAATAAGCCCTGGTGATTGTTGTCGCCATAAAATCTCGTTTGACGACGCCAAACTTTTCTTTTTGGCCAAAACGAAGAGTTATTATGACTTTAACTTATCGTGTTATCGATGTTGCATATAATGAAAAAACGCTAAAGTCTTATTTTGACTAATGGGGTAGATATCTATTAGTTATAGTATTGTTGTCTCTATACTGTGTGTGTACTGATGTCAGTCCTATGCAGGTAACTCGTGACTAAGTGTTGCATGCCAGGATAGGGACACGGGCCACGGGCCACGGGCATGCCATGATAGGGCAACGGGTTTGTGGGTGTTTTTTCCAAAAAAAGTTTAAATCTGCAATAATTCGCCCACTACTCAAAAAGGACAACCTTGACACAGATCGTTTGGTAAACTATCGTCCTGTTTCCAATTTGTCATTTTTATCTAAGGTAGTAGAGAGGGTTATAGCAGTTAGACTATTTAAGCATTAAGAAGCAAACAATCTTGTTGAAGAAATGCAGTCAGCCTACAAATTCAATTATAGCACAGAATCTGCACATTTGAGAATTAAAAATGATTTGTTAAGTGGTGTTGACAAACATGCTGCTATGTTATTGGCACTGTTAGATTTGTCTGCTGCCTTTGACACAGTATACCATAATATTTTATTGACATTTCTAGAGCAGGATGTAGGGGTTAGAGATAAGGCCTTAGATCTTCCCCGATCCTATCTTGTTGGGAGAATGCAACAAGTTAATATAAATGGTGTGCATTCTGAACTCTCGCAGCTTTTATTTGGTGTTCCTCAGGGGAGCTTTCTTGACCCGCTAAAGGTGACACGTTACCCCTTGGAGCAATTCTGCGTTATCATAAGATAGGTTACCACTTTGGGCGCTCTTTCGGAGATTTAATACAACTAGATATATGTAAACTAGAGCCACTTAGAAAGAATTAATCGAACTGAAGGTAACGTTTATGTACTTGTACTAAAATATGCAACAGGCATAAATATATGTTGGTCTGTAATTGGCCGTGACTTTCGTTTCAGACAGGCCGGTGCAGTAGTTTGTGGGTTATTCTAGTACGTGAAATATGGCGACCGGAGGTGCAGACGAATTTGGTGGAATTAGTCATGTGTCTGAAGAAACAAGGGGGTCTAATGCTCAGGACAGTGGTTCTAGCCGTGGACCAGGTGAATATCAGAATAAATGTATCATTATTATTATCAAAATAAAAGAGTGGATTTTTTCAATCAACAGCTAATATTGCAATTGTATTTACTTCCAATGCTTTGATGCCTATTTAGAAGATTTTCATCGGGGAATGAGGCAATCCAGGTGAATAAGGTCATCGTTTTGAGTGGACAAATTAGTAATGGGAGTTGTATGTAGGGCGTTATTAATATTCAGATGTTGTCTTTGTCCAGCTATTTCCCCATGTCGTACAATCAAGGTTTTGCTTAAAATGTAACGTTGGTTTACAGTTTCACAAGCAAAAAGGGAAGAGCTTTTTCAACGGCCAGCACTTTCGAGCTGTCCAAACCACGTGATGACAGAAAACAGTTACGAAAAGGACGAACTGATTCATCAGCTCACTCTTACTAAAAAAAGCCTGGAAGAAGAAATTGAGCAATTGAAATGCGGCATGAGAGTCCACGAAGCACGCGAGCACCGCGAGAATGATTTAGAACAAGCACTCGGGGCAGAACGAGAGAGAAATCGCGAACTTCAAATGGAGATGGAAGCACAGGTTCGCGATTACAATCTGGACACGAGGGTGCGCGCCGACAACAGGTTACTACATGAGGAAAACCAACGTCTACGAGAACAGGTCATCGCACTTTCTTCACAAATTACCGAGAAAAAATCCGACTGTTAACCGCCGAGAGGAACGGCGCTTACAAGCGTTTTGAAAATAAATCCAAGGAGCTGGAGAGGATCCGGCAGGAGTTGCTTGAACTGTTTCATAAAACTCGATGACAGCGGCCGAAAATTCTGTTCTGCAGAAAACCATTGCCCAGCTGACGAATGACAACTACGACCTTCAGTTAGAGATCTATATCTATATATATATATCTATATCTATATAGAGATCTATATATATATATATATCACTTCCGGACTGATGATAAGTATGTGCGCTTGCGTTTCGTGACCCCTCGTCTTCACGGTTTCTAGACTTGGGGGTATGTCTTTAGCGTAAGAAGCTGCTCTCACAATTAGGAGACCATTCTTCTTGTTCTTTATAACGTGTAAGCTTTTGGATCTCTAACTGAAGGCAAGGGCCATCCCATGAGCACTAGGATATATATATATCTCTTAAGAGATTTTAACAAAAAACCGTACGTTTAGGAAAAAAAACCTGGATTAACTTTGAATGCAGGAATGGGGTCGTTGAACATTGGTAAGTACGGGAAAATTGCCGTTTTTTCCAGGAAAATCGTATTTTCGGCCAAAACGAAGAGTTATTATGACTTTAAAAGCGTTTCAAGGTACCTTATTACATTACTTTAACAAAGGAGGCAGCTACAAAATCTATCATCATTTCGATGAGCAAATTATAACCTGTTAACAAACGAGATGAACTATGCGATGTAAAAAATATCCACTGACATAACCTGAATTTTAATCAGGTTCATGTATGTCCAAGGTGCCTTGATACATTACGTTAGAAAATGGACGTAGCTGCAATAAAAGCGATCATGACACCAGAAACTGTTAACAGTGAAGATGTATTATTCGATGTAGAAAATACACGTTATCATAACCGTTATCAAAACGTCCGAATATCTTCCTTGAAAGCAACAAAAAATATATTTAGCTTTAAGGTTAATTGTTTGGTAGTCCATGTACGTGAGCACATGCAGCGATTTAAAGCTGGTTATTTATATAGTTTATTAGCAACTGTCCTCATACTGACCATTAACGTTCACTGGCAATATCAGAGACGATATTATGAACGTCATGAACACGATTCGGAGACACAGTGGTAGGTTAAAAATAAGACACGGAATTCTGAAAAGGCATTTGATATTTATTGAAAAGACGGAATCATCATCATCATCATCATCATTTAGAGCCTATAGTGTTCCACTGTTGGACAAAGGCCTCAGCATGCTTTTTCCATTGTTTCCTATCCTGAGCCTCAGATTTCCAGTTTGGCCAAGGTTTCTTCTTCCAAGACTACCAGTAGTCATCTAATTCATCCCTCCATCGTTTGACCGGCCTTCCTCTTTTTTTTTGTCCATACCTTGGTGTCCATTCTGTAAGCCTGATTGTCCACCTATCGTCCTTCATTCTTTTGACATGTTCTGACCACCTCCATTTCATTTCTTTAACTGTGAGCAGTACTTCCTTAACTTTGGTCTGTTCACGTAACCAAACATTCGTTTCCTGCTCTCTTGGACTGATGTTCAACATAATTGTTCAACATAAAAGACGGAATAGGCAACAACAATAACAACAACAACTACTGCTAATATACTACTACTACTTGTACTACTTGTGCTGCTACTACCAGTACTACTACTACTACTACTACTACTACTACTATAAATTATTATTATTATTATTATTATTATTATTATTATTATTATTATTATTATTATTATTATTACTTGAAGAATAAACAAAGAGCGCAGGCCTCTGCGACGTGTACAATTGAAATAGTTTAATTAAGAGGTAATTGCTACTTCTTGTATAGCTTCGACGAAGGGCGCATTTCTATGATAACCCGTATCACCCCCGAAATTTAAAACAAACAAACTGTCAGAACCAAAAATATTACCTCCTTGTCGGAGGTATAAATAACAAGAAGAAGAATAAAAACTATAAGAAAAAAATAATAATATTCCTGATGAAGCAGAGATTTCCCCAGTATGTATTGGCCATGCAACTAGGTGTTCTTTATTTATCGCACTATCCCGAACTATACTTCACATAATTGTACAAACCAATTATCTTTTGATGCAAATAAACGTTATTATTAAGGATACTGTTATAGAGTTTCTTATCATCCAGATGCCGGAAATGAGGTCTTTCCTGCAGTCAATTATTCAATAATTCATGTACCTTAATGGTGATTTAAAATTATAAAAATATCCTTGAAAACATTAAATATTGGCGTTTATATTTCTCATCTCTATCTTAAGTAAAGGGAACTCAAAGCTTTTATCGTTAAATTAACGCCTTAATACTTTTGGGGGGGGATGGGGTAGGGATCGGTATGAGTCGTAACTTCAACACTGAGCAAATTAGTATAGTTGACCACAAGTGTATGAGAGGATCAGATGTTTTTTTTCAGTTTAATAATGTTGTCAAGGCATATACTAAGATCAGGGACACAACTGGCTATAGTGACGGTTTTGGTTATTGGAAAACAGATGCAAGGCCAGACACCAATTTCCTGGGTTTATTTACCTATAGTTATTTCCATTCATCACTTACCGACAACCAACAGAAGGAGGAGCTAATATTCATCTCAGGTTTGTTCATTGAGTAAGCCGCAGATTTCACCACAGCAGGAGTCGCAGCCGTTTCCAGCCCCGGATGCACACACTCAATGAGTTATGACAAAATTAGCATACACACGATGAAGCAAGAGTGAACTGGAGGACAATAAAGATTATAAATTAAGTAAAAGCAAAAGTCAAAAGGTAGATGATGTTTTTTGCGCATTGGGTCGTCTAGACAATAAGAGCAGTTATATGAAACAATTCGTTAAAACGTTTGTGATAATTCAATCAAAATTTACTTTCAATAATCAATTCAAGGGTAGGCCAGTATACACAATGCCACTGCCAGAAGGAAGTTATTACAAACGGCATTGATCGTTGAGTCATTCTAACACAGTTTAAATAATCAACAATTTCAGAGTGTGAATAGAAAACACAGTTCGAGGACGGCATATCGTTCTTTTTATTTTACAAACAAAACAGCTAGGACAAACAGCGATGAACCTCACTTCACTAGGCGCCATGTCGCAATCCAAAGGCACGTTCAAAGCCAGTAACCATGCCAACTGGAGGTCTAACAACAGCGCCATGCTTGATGTTACTCTGGCCACGAGGAGGCGTGCGTAGAAACTCAATGACATAGATGCCCCCAGATGCCAAGCAACGACCCAGTTTATAGAAAAGCATCGGCAATATGAGGAAACGGTGACGGATAGAACCATCGGCAGCATACGGAGAACCATAGAAAAGATAGAGGCGTATAAAGGCCTCCTAAAAACTGAGTATAAAATGGAAAACATTTATCAAAGGCAGTGCGGACAACCAGAGTTCAAGCGACCGGGCGAACAACTGCAGAAAATTAGACGCCGCCAAATGCGACTTTGCAATGGCGGCTTTTCCATGAGTAATTTAAAGATGGAAGTGAATCGACAAGTGGATGGAGCAGATCCAAGTCGACGGAAATTGCGCGTGAGAGAAATCCAGTTAGGAAGACTCAAGCGACATACAGATATAACTTTGGCGAGTAGTGTAGCACGCTTAATGGATATTATGAATGGTTCTTCGGACCATGCGTAAAACTTATATACCATTACTATGTGAGCCAAAGCCAGGTTTTATTCAACACTTGTTATAATACTGTACATTTGTCTTATAATATTCAGTGACATTACAATACATTACACTAACGGTATCTGTCTTTAAAAAATGTGCCATTTTAGATTTTATTAATGTTTGTACTACCATAAAAATAGGTGTTATTCACATGTGCTGATAGACAGATGCATAATTTTATGTTAATTGATTATAAAATATAATAATAATAATATAATAAGTATATTAATAAATTATATATAAAATGATAACAATTAATATGAAAAGATATACTTTTTCAAGAGAAAATGGCACCAGTTACAACTTACATAGCTAGAACTGACCTTATATTTGAATCTCAATTGTACCTAAATAAGACATTGCAGGTCTTACGTTTACATTGTTACTAAAGTGGAAGGTCGTCATAAAATGTTAGTATAGTAAAACAGTCTATGCTCACGGATGCCAGTATGTTGTTTAAAACCAAAACAGCTGTCCGACTTAATAATTGCATCCGACTTCACCATGCTAGACGCGTTTTTTCCTGCACATAAAGTTTAAAAAAGCGTGCCCATAGATGCTCCACCTGGCTATTATAAATACAATACATGATGATACGGATTGTCCCTAGTATAGATAAATAATGAACAAGAAGCGAAAACGCTATTTCTTTCAGAATTCAACATTTGCCGTCCAGATACTACGTACGTTTCCGATATGTAGGTCAGTCTAACGTGACAGAGAGTCCCCCAAGATAGAGAATTCGCTTCCCATTCATTTGTACAGGTAAGCCTCGCCTTTTATTTGACCTACTTGTAGATCAGGGCCCCGTATCTCGAAAGCATCGCGCATTGCGACCGTGCGCAAGCGTCTCGATTCCATAACTCGCCCATACTCCCTCCATATAATACATTGTAGCCTCTATATAATATCGCTTATCGCAATACGCGATGCTTTCAAGATACGGGGCCCAGGCTGGCCCTAACTATTACAACTAAATGGATCGCGGGCCTTTCTGTAACATAGACCCTAAGTTTGGTTACATCGGACCTGAACACAGAGGAGGTTTAGCCAACTTAATTTTCCCTAAATTTTAGAACAGTAGTTTAGTTTGACACAAGGTTTTTCAATAATAGTCCAATTACAGAACGACTATGCTTCTTTTAAAACAAAAACATATTTCGCAGACTAAAAGTTGTTCTATTTAATTGAGCTACTATTGGTTTACTATGAATCCAAACACAAAATTAGGGTTTAAAATTTGAGGCAAAATTTCTGGCTAAGGCTTTTATATAAAAACAATCCCCGGCACAAGTTTGACAGAAAATCTTAACCGGTTTCTCCTACTTTTTTTTAGGTATTTAAAGTATCTTGTAAGTCGCGTTTCACAAACGCTCGTAAAGGCCGCATGTCTTCTATTTTAGACTACATTCTTAGAATAAAGCCTAAAAATCAGACTGCCAGAGCTGCCTAAACTCAATTTTTATGATGAATAAATTTTTCATCTAGATCAAATTTTCAAATGAAGTGGAAAGCAAAATTTATTAATGCTTTGCTTCATTCTAATGTCGATTTACACTTATTTAAGACCGAAAAGGCATCGAGTAGTTAACGTTAGTATGAGTATTTGTGAAATGCACTTAGCTGGATACAGTAGTAGCCTTTGAGGGCATTAACAGCAGATTGCACTTGGATCTACTGATCCGAGGATTAAATATGGCGTACCCTACATGAAAGAAGAGCCATCTTATTCACTGATGGTCTCCTGCCTCAGCGCACGCCACTGGTTTAAATCACGACTCCGCTCGAGGTGTAATTGCAACACCCCTGTAAGGACGGCGCGGGTGAAGGCGGGAAGACCATTAGTGGATTAGAAGCCTCTTCTTTCACGTAGGTACGCCATATTTGATCTGCGGATCAGTAGACCCAAGGATCATCTGTTGTGAATGCCCTCTTTGTTGACCAAGTTCTCGGAATGGCGTCACACTAGTTGTAGGTTCTCACGGTTCCCCGGATGCAGGACCTGCAGATGGGGCATGTCCGCAGAGCAGGGGCGCATTGGGCACAGGAGACAAGATGGCCGCACGGCAGAAAAACAATATTGGCCTCCTCGTCCATGCAGATCTTACACCTTCTCTGCTCTTTCAGGCGAAGGTTTTCTTCTTTCAGAATTTTAGAAGCTAGAAAATAAAGAGGTCATACTATTACTGTAATTGGTGAACAAGCCGATCAATGGAGTGCATTTTCTTTTTTCTTGTGTACATTTTGAATAGAAAAAATAATTACAAGCGCTTCGTAAAGGGCTTTGTGAAAGTCAACTTATATTGACGAGATCAGCAGTCACACTAAATACTAAAAGAAGCGGTTGTATAAAAAATGCCGACCATAATTAAAAAACAAACAAAATAAATAAATAAATAAATAAATAAATAAAAACAATGTGAAATGTTAACTGACCGTCATCTGGATCAAGAGGAACCGATGACGGAGACATAGCCTTTTTCCCACTAGGTTCACCTGAATTATTTAGACAGGATAAATATATGTGTTGGTGAAAATAATGATAATGTCTACTTCGCATCAAACTTGACACTTTATAAAACAATGAATAAGGTACTGTGCTTAAATTATACTATTCTGAAAGACACTGGCAAATGATAAAATAATTGAACTTGTCCATACCAGTACGGTCGCTGGCTTCGACTTCAGGACTTGCATGTGGCATCTGTGACTGCTGACGTGGCAAATCACGTGGGGGTGACGTAACATGCACTTCCGGTTGGGGCAACCTCTGTCGTCTGCTTTCGGTGATATTAAGAACAGCCTCGACCAAACTCTCTGCGCTGAGGAAATCGTCGCCGGTGGTCCTTAACCGCTGTTCGACGGCATTTTGAACGCTCAGACGTTCGAAACCAAGTCCCAGAACCAGCTGTACCAATTCCGTGTCCATTCTGGCTTTTATTTCCCTTGGCTCCACGTCATATGGTCTGGCAGCACGGCCTGTAGGACTCTGAGGCAGATAACGGAATTGAATAATATTCAAAAGAAAAAATGAAATAAAAGTAAGTTACTGGACGGACTCTATATGGTTTATTATGAAATGGTGGAAACTAATTCTTAATTTCAATGAATCATATTATATAAAATAATCTAAAATCTTAAAAGGTTTTCATCAAAACTCTTTGCACATATCTAACCAAACCATCTTTTCATTTCGTGCAGTTTTTTATTTTACAGCAATACTTTTAGCTATTATTTTATCAGTCGGAGATTTTACTTAATCATACTTAGAACGTACTAGCGAACCAAACCTAGAGGCTTCCAAAGCAGATGCCAACCTTCCGTAATACGAGGATGAGCTGCTGACGGTATTCTCGCGTGATCTTTGCTCCCGTGCGAGATTTGGAAATGGATCCGTCATACCGTCTGCCAAAGTTTCGTCGAAGCTCCTTTCATACAGCGGGACATTCCTGGGATCATTGCCATTGGCTTGACGGCAACTTGGGAAGCTTCGACGATGTTTGTCCTGTGGATCGTCGCCTTTTCGCCACTGTTTTAAATGTCCTCCGCAACTGAAGCAGACTACTTCATCACCCTTTCCAGTATAATGAAAACCAGATCGCGAAAGTTTGAGCGACGAGGCCGGAGATGCTGAAGGCCAATTCCTGAAACTCTTGATGCGATTGGCTTCGAAACGGTATTCCCCTTCCTGACCATCGGATGATTCGCCCTTGGTGGAATAATGACGACCTAGCTCGTATCCAGGCAACACCTGTTTAATCGAGAAGAATGTGAATCTCTCTCGTAGTTCAAAGAAATGTCTGGGTAAGTGTTTCGGGTTCGTGGGTGGTACAGGAGTTTGTTCAGTTTCCTTTGATGTAAATCGGTATTCTGGTGTTTCGTGCCCACCGCTGATTGGCAGGTTTCTGAAAAACAATCTGGTAGCTTTCTGTATGCTCATCCATCTTTTGTACAGACAGGACGCGTGGGTTGATTTACATATTATGAGTGTTGCTACCAGCATGTTCAAACTTCTGAAACATGTTAAAGACAACACAAGTCTTATCGCGAACTCCAGAGTGTGTTCACTTGTACTTAGGAACCCGCGGCCGTCTGAATACCCTTTCTCCAATTCAGTTTCTAATCCGTGAGTGCGCTGAGCGATGTTTAGCAATTTGGTGCGTGTTGAAGTCGGCAAGTAGCCAGGAATTTCAACCCATATTATAAATGGGCAACAATATCTGTCTTCGGTTCCAGTTTCCAATTTCCTGGTGGGCATGGTCTCTTGTACATTAACTAAAATATAAGATGAACATTTAAAATGTTTAAGACAGATTTATTTAAAGGGATTATCCTGGGATGAACAACGATCTTCCCATACCAACCAATGGTAAATGAATCCATTTTTTTACATTCAAAGTAAGTTAGTTCAAAGTTACAGCGAAATTAAGGTTGAAAAGTAAACTCTGAGCAAACAGACACTTAAAAACTTTCATGATATAAATACAGAATATTTCATATTTTTAAATGAAGAGCACTTCTTAACATCTATAGCTTTAAGCTTAATTATTTGTTAATCCATGTACGTGAGCACATGCAACGATTTATACAGTTTATTAGCAAATTATCTCACACTGACCCTTAACGTTCACTGTTGACAGCAGAGATATTATTGACGTCATGAGCACGATTGAGAGACACAGTGACAGGGTAAAAATAAGATGCATGGTTCTGAAAAGACATTTGATATTAATTGATAAGACGGAATAGGCAACAACAATAACAACAACTACTGCTACTACTACTGCTTCTACTACTACTACTACTTCTAGTATAAATTATTATTATTATTTTTATTATTATTATTATTATTATTATTATTATTACCTGAAGAATAAACGAAGAGTGCAGACCTCTGACAAGTGCAGAAGGTCAGGTCACAGCTTGCAAATGTCGTCTGCTACGTGTACAGTTGAAATAGTTTAATTAAGAGGTAATTGCTACTTCTTGTATAGCTTGTATAGCTTGAACTAAATTAATTAAATTAAATTGCTACTTCTTGTATAGCTTGTTTAGCTTCGACGAAGGTCGCATTTCTATGATAATCCGTATCACCCCCAAAATTTAATAATTTCTTCCTTGGCCAATTTGTGGTCTATACTGAAAATTTTATTAGAACCCTTCCATGACTTTGTTCATAACTCTGGGAAGACAAACAAACAAACTGTCAGAACCAAAAACATAACCTCCTTATCGGAAGAAGAAGAATAAAAACTATAAGAAAAAAATAATAACATTCCTCAGGGAGAAGAGATTGCCCCAGTATGTATTCACCATGCGTCTAGCTGTATATCGCACTATCCCGCACTATATTTCACATAATTGTACAAACCAATTACCTTTTATTGCAAATAAACGTTATTATAAAGGATACTGTAAGGGTTTCTTAGCATCCAGATGCCGAAAATGAGGTCTTTCCTGCATCTAATTATTTAATAATTCAACTACCTTAATGGTGATTTAAAACAATGAAAATCTCCTCGAAAACATTAAATATTGGCGTTTATATTTCTCATTTCTATCTTGAGTAAAAGGAACTCAAACCTTTTATCGTCACATTAACGCCCTAATACTTTTGGGTGAGATAGGGATCGGTATGAGTCGTAACTTCAACACTGAGCAAGATTTTATCACAAATATTGGCATATTTGATAAAGAGTGTATGAGCTTCAATCCCATGCCGTCATTTTTATACACGTATTGTTATGGGGCTATTAGTCCCAAACAACATATTTTCATTAACCAAATGCGTTCTTTATCAACGATAAAATCCGAACAAAGACATTTGGGAAAAATCCCTGGCTGGATTTTGGAGTACTAAATTGTGTCATTACATTGGCGGTAAAATGATGTTCGTGGGTGCTCAAGTAAAGGAGACATTTAAGAAACCGTTTTTTTACACTCAAATACCGATTATGACGTTACTCGTAAGATGACGTGTTTGTAAATGTTAATTAATTTAGTCAATGAACATTAAAGATATACCTGTCATCCAACAGATTGTATGTAACAGATTGTATGCAACCGTGTATGTAAGGCAGAAACTTAGGAGTTTCTGGCACACGCTACAGTATCCTTAATTGCTTCAGTCACAACATGTAATCTCACCTAACACATCTTTCTCCAACCTTCTGGCAAATGATTTAATCACAAATTTACACCGTTACAGTCAGCAGTAGTATCTGTAATGAATAAAACGCTTTAAATGTCTCAGTATCTTTAAAGACATTAGAGACTAAATAAAATAGGGCAGTTGATGATGAATGGCAGATCGAGAAAATGAGAGAGAGAGAGAGAGAGAGAGAGAGAGACCAGTCACAAGTGAGTGATCCATATGAAATTCAAATCATTATTAACTTAACGATCTGTAAGTTGAGTAAAATCCATTGACAGAGCAAACAAACAATGAGACTTGGGCTGAATACAAAAAAGATATATAATAATAAATATTAAGTGTGTGTCCATGATAAGACCAGTCAGAGGGTGGCAAGGTGGGGGTCAACAGATTTCAACCAAATTCATAATATTGTTGCATATATAGGAG